GAAATAATTTAAAATTTCTTAATTGTTTATTTTTTTTAATTTTAAATTCTTTTCTGTTTATGATAAAATTTATTTTTAAAATTTTAATTAAATAATATTTATATTATTTGTTTAATTTTCATTTATTTAATTTGTTTTGTTTTCATTATATATTTATTTGGAAATAATTTTAAAATTTCTTAATTGTTTTCTTCATATTATAAATAATTTTTTTAATTTAAAATTCTTTTTAATTCTTAATTTTCTGTTTTTTTATTATTTTCTTTAATTTATTTTTATCTGTGAATCGGTTCGCTTTACTTATTCCATGATCTTTTATTGAAAGTTCTAATATTTGAATTTTTGTAGGATGGAGTATCATCTAGTTGTGGAGTTGATACATGGCGAGAAAATGTACATGGAACAGTAGCTTTAATAATTTTACGAGTTGCTGGATGAACAGCACGCATATATTCTATGTCAGTCCTTCCAATGGTTCATGTATCAGTTGAGAGATGTGCAATACTCTGGGCAGATTATTAATGCGTTACTCTTGGACCAATCGACGACGATGCTCTTCACTTCGACCTCAGGGACAAGGTAGCTACTTTATCCATATTTGAGTATGCCTTCATAACTGGATTGAAGATAATGGACGACGAGGCAGCTACTGATAGGAATGTAAAATGCATATTTTTTCCTTCTTATTTTATATACTCGTATGATTATTTTGTGTCAAAATGTACTCATTATGTTCATATTTTGATTTTGGTGACAATTTAATGGAGATTGCGTAATTTGGAAGAAATATGTGAAAAATGATCAAAGTGAAAGGAAATGAAAGTTCAAGAACTAACGTGCAAATACACAAAATTTGTGTCGAACCTCACGATTAAGATTTGAGAGTGTTAGATGTCAATTGGATGAAGGAATGAGTCAAAGGGATGAAACATAGCCAAAACATTATCACATATCAACTTTCAAGCTGAAAAGTTTTGCACCGATTTTCAGTCTCATATTGAGACCAGTTTTTGACATAGAAAGAAAACGATCGAATTCAAAGATAGTATTTGAAGGATAGTTGTATCCCTTTGAGTTAGCTTTCCAATGCATTTTGAATTAGTTCAATCGGATATATGTGGAGAAAGTTATGATCAAAATACCAAACACTGTTTAGATACAAACCTACGCGCGCGCGTGGGGTTATGAATTTTACTTACCGAGCCTAAAACCAATGAACGACGCGTGTACAAGGAAATATACGACGTGCGAGCACATGCATTTTTTACAAACAAATCTCCAGTTTTCGAATTTAAGTCAACTACCTATGAAAACAACTATAAATACATATTTTAAAACCCTAGAACAGGGGAAGAACGTAGAGAATGCCTCCAAACTCCATTCATTATTATTTCTCTCTTAGATTCATGAATGTAACTAAATGTTTACACTTGGCCGAAGGAAACAGAAGCCTCGGAATCACATATTGTGAGATCTAAATAGTTTTTCTTATTGTTTAATTCTTATTTTGCGTATTGAATATTCTTCTACACTTATTTTCATGATTGCTATGTTTAATTGCTAGGAGGCATACTAGTTTGTTATTCGTTACAATCTACCGCTAAGTTAAATATCAAATCCATAATTGTTTGATTCCTTTAATTTGTAAAACACTAGGATTTGATGATTTTCTGCAATAGAAGTTATTGAATTTTAAGAAGAATGTTTAAGTAGATTGAATGCAACCACTGGTGTTTGTGTTATCTAATTCATCAATTTCTCTATTGTGTAATAAAACTGTTATTAAATTGAATATTGAACACTTGTCTAAGGTTATTTAATAATTAGGATTAATTAAAACGCTGGTTTCTAACTAACTAAAATTAATGAGAAGTAGGAAAATAATTCCAACAGTGAATATTCAAAATATGAATTGAATTATCCTTATATCTATGATCAATTGTGGATTTTCGACGTGGATGTGGACTTAGACCAAGGTTAATCTTTTGATTGTTTTCGTTAATTTAATTTTCATTGTTAATTAATTACGTTATTTACAATTGTTTGTATACAAAAACCTCTCAATCATTATACAAAGTATAAAATATTGAATTACACATTCTTTCATGAGATCGACCCTTACTTCCACTACTACATTAGTTTTAGAGATTAAGATGTTACTTTTGGGTGCATGCGACATCACACACCAGCTACTGACGGTACTCAAAGAAGCAATAGGCTGCATGAGACGTATTTTCAATGATAGGAGATGGTATTTCTAAAGTAGTTGGTCGGCGCAATCAGGCAGTGCGACCAGATGTTGGATAGATTGAAGATATGAGTTGTCTACATCCTTAAGAGCGTAGTGATGTGTCATTACAAGAAGACTTCGATCGACCTTTTCCATTTGGAAGTTATTAATGACATCGATGCTTTCAACAACTATTCGTGGGGTCGAAGATATTTTGAGGACATTATACACGTCTTCCCCATATCACACTCGAAGCCCAAGGGTTCCATGCGTAAGTACGATACTAATGGATTGCCCCTGGTAGTGCAGGTAAATGTTTAACATAATTAACATTAAAATATTTTGTATATTGAATTTATATATAATAATTATATAAGTTGCAGATCAAGGCATATGAGACTGTTCTCCTCTGGGTATCCAGTTTGCTAAGCGAGGGAAGATACGCTACCATCAGATGCACTTTGACAAGCATCCCAAGTAAAACGGATGTCCATTCGACAAATAGTTATCAGCCCTTCACAACAACCATCATATGAGTATTACATATTTGCGATTTATATTGTATGTCGTTTCCAAATTTCATCACATGATCATTAACTAGTTGAACTGTCAATATGTCAACTTGAAGTCTAATTGAGTTGAAGTCGTCTATGGAGGAGGTGGGTTGGGGTTTTGTGCGTGAATTAAGCGTTCCGCATACCCAACACGACCAGATGTTCAATTCCATCCTAGACCGATATTGGGAATGTAAATTGAATATAATTTATTGATTATCATTTTGTATGAGTTAGTCTATTTTAACTAAGTTAATAAATTTTAATGTTGTTATTTATGTATGAGCGCGGTCTAGTTGATCAACGATCACCTTCGCTGATGAAATATCCTTCTCATCCATCCAAACACATCTCACGTAAATCTCCTGTACACGGCCAGATTCATTATTTTGATGATCTGTATGTTTATCTGACTGGATTTATGGCGAATGATATGGGCGCATTACGACGAGGGATGAGAGAGGAGATGGGCCCATTAGGAGAGGAGGTAGGAACGTTACAATGAGAGATGAAAGAGGAGGTGGGCACGTTACGAAAGGAGATAAGGGGCGCTGCGACGAGGGTTGAGCGACGAGGTATCAATTTTTATGTCATGATATTAATGTGCTACGAGGCCATGTATGAGAACTTCAAGATGAGGTCGCAAGGCATTGAGGCGATATAGTAGGCAGACGAGAGGGTGATAGAGATCGAGGTCACACACTATTGTAGACAAATGATGATACATTAGAATCATTTTTGTTATTTATGGAGTGGAGGGATGGCCCTGATGGGGACGGGAGAGGTGGCGAAGGAGGAGATGATGGAAGGGATGGCCCCGATGATGGAGGGGATGGCGATATGAAGGAGGTGGCGGTGCCTGAGGTGAATGGGTGGCCTACACAATGGAGAAAGTGGGGATCCCCAGGGCAAAGGATGTGCCAAGGCGAAGGGGGTGACGGATGAGGAGTGGACGCCAGTAGTGACAGAGGGTAAGAAGCGTACTATTGACGTACCGGAGTAGGTGGAAGGCACTAGGCTAAAATTGCCATCACAGTACGTCGTTTCTCATTTTATGGTTGAGGCGAAAAGGATGACGTTCGTCGACGAGACGTACCCCAATCTTTCCCGGGATGTGGACCATTCCAAATGGAAAGCATTCGAGATAGAGTGGTGAAGAATTTTATCCGGGTAAGTATTTTATGATTTTAGTAAAATACGCTACGCTAATTTATCTATGATTCTTTTCACAGTTTTTCTATTTCTTTTTTCAGAGCTATCCACATGATATATCAAATGACGA